GGCTAATTCTAATAAAGCGTTTCCAGTTTTCCGGTTCGTCATGCACTTGTGGCTAAATTAGTAAATATGGCAAAAATGAAAAGTCGCCAAATCAATGTTTTTATTCTGCTTCTAAGATGCTTACAATATTGAGCTGGGCATCTTTTGTGAAGCTTTGAAGATCCCGAAGTTGTGTGTAGACTATTATAGTGTTAGTCTAATATGACTATAATAATTAGGTTTAAAAATATATGTTTTAAAAGGCATTGTTATATTATGATAAACATACTCATGTAAATATACTTACATATTATATTCTATAATTATGCTAGTAAATATTAGGCAAACTGTTCTAAATTATGGCCTTTATGGGCATTGATTCATCTCTACAGAATGGTTTTAAGGTCACTTTCTGCCAGTGATTTCTTTCTCTCCTCTGTGAACAAATTGTCGGTCTTGGGTTTGAGTTTCTTCCGACGGCCGCAAAAAGGGGTTTTGTTGCTTTTGCCAGAATCAGCTTTTATTCGCGGCATTTTTTCAGCAAAGATTTCAGTGCAAGAGAAATGAAATGTGCGTCTACAACCGCATGTTGTGATAACGGAATACGAGATGACATATACACTAATTGAATTGCACAAGGTGTCGATTTTCTGTCAAACACATTTCCCGCCAAACATATAGACTTCAATCGCGTTTTACTAAATAACCTGTTTAATTTTAAAGATACTGATTTACATTTTTTTCCAGACGACAGGTATGCTCAAAAGCAACAAGAACATGTAAAGAAAAAAAAAATCAAAATTCTTACGTTCTAGGGTATCCTGTAACCTTAATAATAGCCTAACCAACGAACTGCCTACTAAAAGAAATTTAAATAAACTACCCTGCATGTATGACATAGATTTCTTTAATTTGAATGTAAATTCTAGCACAAACCCTGATCGTAATTCTCATTTTGAACCTATACAAAGTAGATATTATTCACCTCATAGTTTTTCTTGCGCAAAAAAATCATTGGAAAACCATTCTATATCCTTTCTTCATAACAACATAAGAAGCTTAAGACGAAATATTGATAACTTTCAAAATCATCTTTTGAGTGAGCTTGAGTTTAATTTTAGCATTATTGGGATTAGCGAAACTAGAATAGGCAATACAGACACTTTAGACTTTGATTATAATATTCCAGGCTATCAGTTTGAATACGTACCCACGCCTTTGTCAGCAGGAGGTGTTGGAATGTATGTTAACAGTGAACTTCATTATAAAGTACTTGAGAAAACAACTAACGAGGCTTTTCAAGCCCTTTGGATTGAAATACAATGTGAAAATAAGAAAAACATAATATGCGGAGTCCTCTATAGACAGCACAACTCCCCAGGGAGATTTCAAAATTATTTTGATGAGAGTCTGGAAAGATTTGGTTCATTGAACAAACCTGTTTACATATTGGGTGATTTTAACATAAACCTCCTCCGAATTGAGACCTGTTCGTATGCTCATAACTTTTTACTTACAATGCAAAGTTATGGATTTAGTCCAACAATAGATAAACCAACCAGAGTTCACAAAGATTCGGCTACGCTCATTGATAATATTCTTATCAATAAAACAAATGGTTCAGTTCAAAGCGGTAATATTGTATCTGATATAAGTGATCATTTCTCACAGTTCTGTGTAATCTTATCAAACACAAGCAAGCTAACTAGGAGGAACACTGTAAAAAATCAATATCGTGATTTTTCACGTTTTTCAAAAAAAACTTTTAATAATGATCTTGCACAAATTGAATTTGATGAACCAAATGTGGACAATGCAAACAGTATTGATGAAATATTCTCAAATTTTTATACCAAAGTCAATAAAATAGTAAATAAACATGCACCTCTCACAACATGTTCAAAGCGCAAATCTAAACAACTTCTCAAACCGTGGATAACGAAAGGCTTACTTAAATCAATACGAATTAAAAATAAGCTATTTTATTCTGGAGAAAAAGAAAAATATAAGCAATATAGAAACAAAATCTCAACGTTAACAAAATTAAGTAAAATAAATTATTATCATAATTATTTTTCTAACAATATAAATAATATGAAGAGAACCTGGCAGGGCATTAATACCTTGATTAATAATAAAAGAAGAGATAAACGTAACATATGTACTTTGAAAAGACCAAACGATGGAAGTGTCACAAATGATCCCACCGAAATTCCAAATTTAATTAACAGGCACTTTGCAACAGTTGGACAAAATCTCTCAAACCAATTGCCTAGCTCTAAGCATGATTTCCGTGAATATCTAAAACATCCTTCTCCTACAAATTCATTTTACTTTGATGCTGTTACCCCTTTGGAAGTAGAAATGGAAATACTATTATTACCTGCCAATAAGGCTCACGGACTATATTCATTTGCAGCACCAATCCTTAAAGGCGCGAGAACTATTATTTCTAAACCGTTAGCAAATATTATGAATGCATCAATTGAAACAGGCATGTATCCCTCTCAACTAAAACATGCACAAATCGTGCCAATTTTTAAAAGCGATGACAAAGAAGAACCAGCAAACTATAGACCAATTTCGTTACTATCTAATTTAAATCGGATATTTGAAAAACTTATGTATAATAGACTAAAAATATTTATTGACCAAAACAACATATTATGTTCATCGCAATATGGATTTCGAGAGGGTCATTCTACAAATCATGCTCTCCTTGATATTGTGAACAAAATACAAACAAATATGGACAATAACCTTTTTTCGTGTGGTGTTTTTATAGATCTTAAAAAAGCCTTTGATACAGTTACCCATGAAATATTATTGTCTAAACTTAATCACTATGGAGTAAGGGGTATTATCAATAATTGGTTCTCTTCATATTTAATTGGTAGATCACAAACAACTCAAATAGGAAACTATATATCAGATAAAGAACAGACACAGTGTGGCGTTCCACAGGGATCTGTACTCGGACCTTTGTTATTCTTGATATATGTTAATGATATACAATATTCTTCAAACAAATTGGACTTCTTCTTATTTGCTGATGATACCAATTTACTTTATGCTGACAAAAATTTAAAGTCTCTCGAAACTATTGTTAATAAACAACTAGAATATATTTGTGACTGGCTACTTGCAAATAAATTGACATTAAACATCAAAAAGTCAAATTTTGTTATATTTCATCCATACCAAAAAAGGTTAAACTATAAACCAAACTTAAAAGTTCACGACTATAAAACAAATACATTAATTTCACTGGAGCAAAAAGATTATGTGAAATATTTGGGTATTTTGATTGATAGTAACCTCTCATGGAGATTTCATATTGATCATATAACACTTAAAATAAGTAAAACTATTGGTATCATATCGCGATTGAGGCATTTTGTTCCTTTTCCAACACTTTTAAATATTTATCGTTCACTAATTCATCCATATATTTCATATGGTTTATCTGTATGGGGGCAGACAGCTAAGACGAATCTGGATAAAATACTGATTCTTCAAAAACGTGCTTTACGACTGATGTTCTTTGCAACAAACAGAGAACATGCCATACCATTATTTGTAAATGCAAATGTGCTACCGATAAGAATGCTCTATTATAAAACTGTGAGTATTTTGATGCACGACATAGCCAATACTCTAGCACCACAAAACCTGTTAAAAATGTTTACAAATGTAAACCAGATACATAGTCACAACACAAGATCTGCAATTGGTGGAAATTATTTTACTCAGCAATCGAATCAGAATCAAAAAAAGAACTCATTCTCTCGACTCGGAACTAAAATTTGGAATGGTATCCCTAATGAATTACGGAACCGACGTAAATGTATTTTTAAAACAAAAATAAATGCAATACTTTTGCAGGTCTTGGAAAGCGATGATGTTTATGTTGATGTCACTACGATAATAACAAAGATAGAACATATAAGTTATTAAAAATATTTTTCTTCCTAGGCCGTTAATTAATTGTTGTTTATTTTCTTTTCTTTCTATTTTGCACAATAATGTATCTTTTCGAGACTGACTATGTACTATAAAATATATATTCTAATCAACACTATACTCGCCAAGATTAGTTTTTAACTACTTGCGGGTTAGTGTAGTGTGTAACTTGTTTGTTTTTAACTTGTAATAAATTGAATTGAATTGAAAAAATAACTCATAAAATAAACAAATTACTTCATGGTTGTTTCGCTTGTACGATTTTTATTATGCACTCTTTGTGAAAAATTCCTATAAACTCACTCGTTGGCTGCACTGTATATATCTGGCGAAGGTTGTGGCATGCAACCGAATGCGGTTGTGGCATGCAACTGTGGCATGCAACGCTGTATATATCTGACGAAGGTTGTGGCATGCAAGCGAAAATTTAATGCACTAATTATATTTATATTTTACTTCGACATATATATATATATATATATATATATATATATATATATATATATATATATATATATATATATATATATATATATATATATATATATGCCTAATAAATCATTATTATTATTATAATAATAAAAAATAATAATAAAAAATAATAATAAAAAATAATAATAATAATGATAACACTTTATTTATTGAGGATAAACAGATAAAGTTACAACTTTTTTCCAATCTGGTCCTCCTAAACTCTATAGACACAACAACAACAACATTAAACATGGCTATTTTCAGTACTTCCTATAGGAGTATGAACAAATGAAATCATGGGTATAATGTAAAGTATTAACCAGTACTACAATTCAGTTGTTCATACCTCGAGAAAGCCCCAATTTACTAATTAGGCAATTTTCTAACTGTGTCTAAATTATATTTACAGTACAGTATAATAAGTCGAAATACGTTGACATACAACTCACAAGTGTCTAAAGTGACATTATAAACA